AAAAAAAACACAACAAACCCTTGGTATGTGCCCAGCCCCTGATCTGAGGTGGCTCAGCCATCCGTGAAGGCAGCGTTGGGAAGTTCAGAGAAGTTGTCTCCTCCTCTGACTTGAGGGACCTCCTGGGCTCAGCCCCGGCTGGTGGCTGGGGGTGTCTTTATATTTTCCAGGAGCAGCAAATCCCCTTTCCCAGGAGGTGCAGGGATCTGTTTGGAATGCCCCTCTGGAGGCTGTGGGTGATGGAAGGCGGCTGGGAGCTGCCAGGGGCAGTGTGTGCTGGTGGGATGGGCCTGCAGAGAGATCCGTGCTTGTGCCAGTGAAATCCATCCGTCCCCATCCCAGGCAGGGTCTGGTGCCTGGTCTGAAGGAGCCAGGAAGGAGCTGGTTTCCTGGTGGGTGGGATCCCCGGGGAGGGGGGTTTTGCTGAGGTTTTTGTGATCACCTTTCACTCAGGAAGGGGTTCAGTTGGGGTTTTGGTGGATGTGTCAGCCAGCTGCCCCAGCATCTGCTTCCTGCAGTGACAACAGCAGGACAGCCACCTTCTCCCAGTCCCAGAGAGATCCTGGATGCTCCTGCAGCAAGGGCAGAGCAGTGGAGAGGAGGCAGAAGAGGTGACTGCAGGGCCCCTGTGATCTGGAGCCGAAAATCAGTTAATTCCTAACTCTAATCTCACTGTTCTCCTGGAGCTCCTCCCTTCTCTTCTCCTTCTTCGTAGCTCCTGTCCCACTTCCAGGTCACCCTGTGCCCACCCAGTTGTCACTGCTGGCACTGTGGGCTCCATCCTGCTCTCACACTGCCAGAGAAAACACCAGAGAAGTCACAGCTCGGGTCCCCCTTTGCTCCCTGCAGTCACATGTTTTATCTCATCCCCAGCCAAAGACTTGAAACTCTCGGAGGAAACGTTTCAAGTCTGACTTGGGGGGTTTTTTTGGGGGTGATTTTTCTATTCAGACTTGGCTCGTGATCTGAAAACCAGGGGAAAGAGTACCTAGATGAGATTGCAGATCTCTGTACCTTCATCAAAACACACCAGGCTCAGGGACTGAGCTTGCAAAAACTTACTGACCTTGCAAAAACTTACTCCTTCCCTTAAGTCTGAGTTTATTGGAGGAGAAGGAGCTGTTTCCTTGCTGAGAAGTTCTTTCCTGAGCTCCCCTTAAATGCTTCTGCATCTCTCCCTGTGAGGGTTCACAGACTCACATCTGGCCCCAGAGGCAGCATAAACTGACACCTCTGATGCTGCTGGGGACGTGTCAGAGCAGCTGGGCTGGCCCTGCCCTGCCCTCAAGGGATGTGGGGAGCTCTGGTTTTTGAGTGTGTTCCTCCTGGTTGCTTCAGAAACTGCTGAGTGTGCCCAGGAGAGGAGCCCAGTCTTTGCCATGGGGGTGCCAAGCTTCCCTGCAGACCCAGGACAGATGCTTTTAGAGCTTGTCCAGGCGTAGCAGAGAGTAAAAATCTGACCTAGGCATTAATCAACCTGCCAGAAATTAATTCTCTCTCCTTGGTGCTCCGATTCTCGGGGAGCATGTGTCACCACGTGCCAGCACCGCGTCCTGAGCACTCTGTCAGAGTTCATCAAAGCCAATATAAATTTATCTAACAGGAGCTGGCTCCAGCTGCTCTCCTGGAGCCACCACACAGCTCAGAATCACATCCTGAGGAGCAGTGGCTGGTGGGACACCAGCAGTGACCACGAACAGCTCGCCTGGGCTTGCTGAACAAGTTAGTTGGGAAACCTTTAACAGGGTATCACAGCCCCCTGTGCTGATGCTTGTCTGTTGTTCCACAGGTGAAATCCGACATCACCTGGATAGAGAAAGACCTCGTGGACTCAGCAGACAAGGTAGGAGAGCCCCTTGCAGGGGGCACCTGGAGGAGACTCATCTGTTTCATTTGCATTTTGCCCCGTGACGGCTCAAACCACGTCAGGGACCTCTCTGAAAACAAAACCCTTTCCTGCCACCCCCCCCTGAGAGCTGAGAGCTCTGTGGGGACTGCTGGTACAGAGAGCAGCCACGGCTCACGTGACATCCTGGACTTGGCTTCATCCTCCTCCTCCTCCTTCCTCTCCTCACCAGCCCCCTTTCCGTGCCGTCTGTTTGCGTCTCCTGTGGTTTTCTGATCTCGTCTCCCTGCTGGGGTGGGCACTTTCAATTGTGTGGACGGACTGGGGGGTGGAGGGGGGATTTTACTGTCTTTTTCTGAGGCTCCTCTCCTCGTGCTGGTAGACACGACGTGGACAATTGTCTTGACTGGGACAGGATTTCTCAGCTCCTGCCGAGCTCTCCCACTCGGCTTCACCGAGCAGCGTGAGGCCTCCCTGGAAGTGGTGATGCTTATCTTGGGGCAGCACGTTGTGGACACGGTTTCTCCTTCCCTAGGCTGTGGCAGGGCGAGGGAGGTTTGATTTTTTTGGGGGGGGCTCCTGGCCGTGCTCAGCATCTGCACGGTGCTGCTCCCAGCTCCTTGGGCCTCACCAGCCGCCGAGGTTCCCGCTGTGGGGCTGGGACCTGGCTGGTGTGAAGTCATTTGGGTCTTTCATTATCGGTTCTCAAAAAAGCACGTTCTGGGGGTGGAAGAGGCAAGACAGTCATAGTTTGTCTCTCTGGCCCAAACCAAGATCCCCTTTTCATCCCCTGCGCTGTCTGGAGTAATTCAGAAATAATGCTGACACGGGGCTATTTCCAATTGCAAAGGTGTGTGGGTGTCTTCTGACTCATTTCGAGGGGTTTCTTTCTTACCTGCCCACCCCAGGGTCTTGCTGTGGAAAACATCTGTCTGCCCTGATGGAAAGGTCAAAGGGGAACAGGTTTGGAGGGGGAAGGAGGCAAAACAAGCCCTCTAAAACCCCTGCTCTGTCCTGCCAATAATCCGAGCCACAGTGGGGTCGGAACCTCTGCATCCAGAAATGCCCTTAAAAACACTTCACATGGACATTCCCAGGGTGTTGTTAGATAACTCCAGCATCCACAGCAAGGAGTCTTGTGCAGCATAATGCAGGTGAAGGACTGAATGTACATCCTAGTGGTGCCCATGGGTTTGATTCACCCCAAATCCCATCATCCCTGCACCAGTGTGAGAGCAGAGACGTGCAGCTCTCCGAGGTGGTGTCACACTTCTCTGTGGGTTCTCGAGGGCTTTCCTCTTCCTTTTTAAAGAGAAAAGTGGCTTCTCAGAATTTTCCCCTGTTGTGGAAATACCTCAGAGCTCACAGCCTGACGTGAAATTCGGGCAGCACTAGATGGAAATCAGTTTAACTGGATACCGTGCGTGTGTTTTCTATCAGTGCCTTGCCTGAGCCAGGGAACCCAAACACGAACGAGGGGCTGTGAGATTATTATTTTTTTAAAAAAAAAAAAAGGAAACCAAAAAAAAAAAAAAAAAAAAAAAAAAAGTCCCAACCACAAGAGCTGTTGCTGGGGAGTGGGAGCTTGAACCTGCCCCCGTGTGACCGAGTCTCTCATCCCCACTGCGCATCTGCCACTGCCTCCAACCACCTGTATCTCCTCCTCCGGCACCCCGAGCGCCCCGGGAGCCCCCCCAAAGCCCCGGGAGCTGGCGGGGGCGGCGGTTCCTGGGGCTGGACGATGTGGATCGGGATGGGAGGATGGAGAGTGACCCTAAACTCCCTCGCCTCTGGGCGTTCCTCACACTGTGGCTGCAGAGGAAGCAGCGAGCCAAGCCCTGCAGCCTCCAGCTGCCTGTCCCCAACCAGCTCAACAGCCCGGTCAGTACCACGGCCCTGCCTCCCTCTGCTTCCCTTGTTCCTGCTGGCTGATGCTCCCAAGGGATATTGGGAACAGTCTGGTTTGCTTCTCTCTTTCTCTGCTTTCTGGGACGGGTTTTTTAAGGGTGTTGTTGGAAGAAACTTGTCTCGGTGTGTTTTTGTGCTGGACACTTGTGGTGTGCTGCTAACCAGCCAGGCTGTAGAGCCCTGAGCGTTGAATTCCAACCTACTGGAGGAGTCCATGGGAGGGAAACACTCCCTTGTGTCAGCAAGACGCCAAATGGCATCTCAAAGCATTTCTCAGTGTCTCTATCAGCAGTGTCTGAGCTGGTGCCACTTGTGGCCTCGTTGGTGTGTGTGGTCTGGCTGCAAACCCTGCCTGCCCTCAGCTGCAGCTTGGGCTGCTGAAACCACTTGCAGTTGAACATGCCAGGTTTTGCTGTTGCAAAGAATTCCCACAGCTGTGGAAACAGGGCTCTGCTGCTCCTGAGGAGTTGTGGTAGGAGGATGGTTTGGGTTGGAGGGGACTTGAAAGCTCATCTTGTCCCACTCCCTGCCATGGGCAGGGACACCTTCCACCAGCCCAGGTCGCTCCAAGCCCCGTCCAACCTGGCCTTGGACACTTCCAGGGATCCAGGGGCAGCCACAGCTTCTCTGGGCAACCTGTGCCAGGGTCTCCCCACCCTCACAGGGAGGAATTTCTCTGGGTCCTGGATGGGTCCAGATGCCTCAGAGGTGGATACAGGAGCTCATTTTAAATGCTCCTCTCAGCATAGGTGTGTGAGGCTCCAGGGTGAGACGTGTGTGGTCGTGTGCTGGGGCTGTACCTGCTGCACCCCTTGAGGATGTGGGGCTCCTCTGCCAGCTCTGAGGGACACTGGAGAGAGCAGAGCCACCACCATGGAAACAAAGCCACTTCCTAAGCTGGAGAAAAGCCCAGCCTGGGAGCGGGGAGGGAAGGGTGCTCGGTGCAGGTGGGCAACCACATCCGCAGGCGCTGGGAGGGTGGGGAGTGGGGCTGGGGCAGAGCAGAGGCAGGGCCTGGCACTCTGTTCCTGTTGGGTTTAAAAGATGCTCTGATTAGGTGGCTCCTGGCCAAGGGTCTGAATACTTTTAGTAAAAACAAAGTGTAATTTCTTTTAACCCCCCCCACCCCCCAACTCTGCAAGGGGAAAAACGAAATGGTAGCTGCAGCTTTTCTGCAGCCTCTGATGGCCACGTCTGCCCCAGGGACAGGGAGAACTGAGTTTAATGCACTTTGGAACGTAATTGCTGGCCTTTGAGTCCAAAAAGCAACCAGACCATATCTGCACTGGATAACGTGGGAGGGAAGTGCTGAGGAGCCTGGACTTGCCCTTACAAGACATCCAGCTACAAGGGATTTATGGCCTGAGTAAGAGTCATGTCTGTAGGAGTGGGAAGTTGAGTCCAGCCTGCCCTGTGGGAGAGGGGTTGGAGCAGGTCAAGCTTAGAGGAAATCCAAGTTCACATGTACTGACTAGGCATGATAAAGAGAAGTAGAGGGAAAGGCACAGATGGAGGACTAATAGTATAAAAAGTCTCTGTGTGTTTGGGATGCAATAGAAAGCAGCACGAGGTGTTTCTGGTGGGGGCTTCAGTCATCAGAGGTATGGAAAAGGTTTGCTGGGAACAGGAGGTGTTGCAGCATCACCTCAGGGTCTGTGGCTGTGCTGGAGTGCTGGCCTGGCTCCTTCGATGAGTTTATTCTATTTATGCTGATTGAATCTATTTTTTCTTCTTTATTTTTTTTTTGTAAGCAAAATAATGTGTTTTAAACAAAACATGTGCCAGAGACCTTGGCTTCCCCTCAATCTTCTTGAAGCCTCGAGTCTGTTAAAGCATCATCTGTATGTGCTGAAGATGCACTAAGACTTATGTTGCAGAGTTGCTCAGATTGCCGAGCAGATGGGCTCCAACATGTCTGATTTTTGCCAGCCCTGGCCCTGTTTTGACAACAGTGCCGTATTTTTGTGTGTGTGTGTGTTGTGGGATTTTTAGTGGCATAAACACTCCTGTTTTTGCTACCAGTGCCTTAAAAAGGAAGGTGCTTTGCAGGCACTCCTCCGAAATGCAGTTCAAAGCAGCGCAGCACCCACAGCGAGCAGAGCTGCTGGGAGAGCGTGGGGAGTTTGCCAAGGCTGCCTGGTGCTGCCTGCCCCTGACTGAGTTATCCCAGATGTCGACACCTGTGACAAGCGCCAGCTTTTATGGTTCTCTCAGACGTGCTCATTGCGGGGTTCTGGAGCTCCAGGCCTTGTTCCATAATCCAGCAGGGCTGCTTTCCCTCGTCCAGGAGTCTTTGCCAACCCGTGTCCCCTCTTTTTCCAGGGAGAAGGTGTTGTGCAGGAAATCAACATCACACACCATGTGAAGGAAGGCTCTGAGAAGGCAGATCCCTCGCAGTTCGAGCTCCTGAAGGTGCTGGGACAGGGCTCTTTTGGCAAGGTGAGGTCACTCCTTCCTGTGTACCGTGACAGAAGTGACTTTGATGACAAAAGGGACTGTCCCCAACAAAACCGCTTTCCTGGTTCCCACTGGACTGTGAAAATCCGATGGATGAGCCCCCCTGAGCAAATGGGTGCTTCCAACCTGGAAGGTGACTGCAGGGATGCCTTTCCTGAGGGCCAGCCTGGAGTGTCCAAATGGCCCTGTAATTCCTTTTGCAGACGATCAGGAGGAGAGCAGGAATGTCCTGAATGCAGGTGTCACACAGGGCAGAAGGGCCTCCTGCAGCTCTTTAGCTGCCTGCAAAACTGTCAGTAAATCGAGGGCTTGGAGGGCTCAGGCATGTTCCTCCCTCCTCAGAACTGTGTGCCAGGAGCTGCCCCTGTTTATGGTCCAGTTTCCCTTCTGTGAAGCAGGAAGGAAGTAGCCTGTAACTCTTATCTGTTTCAACATGTAAATAATCCAGTCTCTTAACAGACCATCTGCTGGCACATTAAATCAGCTCCGTGTCAATCAGTTATCAGCTGACAGTAGGGGCTTGCACAGGACTGTGTGCTGCTTCCTGGGCAAATGCAGCAGTGGCTTTGTAGAATCAGAGAATCACTGGGGTTGGAAAAGACCTCTGAGATCATCCAGTCCAACCAGTGACACTGCCAAGTCCACCACTTGCAGGTGGGGTGTGTTTGAAGCTGCCTAAAACCAGGTAGAATGAGACACCAGGGGAAGGAAGGAGGTAAAAATCCAGAGGACGCAGGACCTGAATAATAAGGAGTTGATCTGACTGGCAAACCAGCTGGATTTGTGGTACATTGAAGCATCAGTGCTTCCAGTCACAGCTCCCAGGCATCAACCAGAGCCCCACGGGAGCTGCAGGAGTGAGCAAGAGGTGTGGAAGGCAAGAGGAGGGAAGTGCAGTGTGAAAACACAAACGCTGCAATGGCTGGAGATGGGGGGGGAGCTGAGAGGAGTCCACACACAGCACTTCCCTGAAAACCCCATGGGGGTTTCCATGAGGTACAGCTGCTTTTTAGGGTTACTGTGAGGTCTGCCACTTTGGGAGGCATCCAGCTCCTACTGTCAGTGTTTAGTGCCTTGGTGAATGTGCTGTTCTTCTGCCTCAGGTTTTCTTGGTGAGAAAAATAACACCGCCAGACAGCAACCACCTCTATGCCATGAAAGTGCTCAAGAAGGCGACTCTGAAAGGTAGGAAGGAGGCTCTTGCTGTGATGCTCTGATCCCCCAGGATTTGAAGAGCACTGGGGAAATGTCACAGCAGTCCTGGGGTGGTTTAGGTAAAAGAGGAGCATCTTTATCCCAGCCAAACAGCCTCCTTTTCTCTCCATCTGCAACAGACCCTTGTTGCAGAGGTGGAGGTGGGAAGACACCTGGCTCCAGCTGCCTGGTGCTCAAGGGCATAAGGTTGAGGGCAAGAGTGGGCTACTCTGGGGTTTTTCTGTGTCTGAGCTGCTCCTGTCTTCCCACAGTGCGTGATCGACTAAGGACAAAGATAGAAAGGGACATCCTGGCTGATGTGAACCATCCCTTTGTGGTGAAACTGCACTATGGTGAGTGTGGAGCTGGCTGGGGTGCTGGGAGAGGGGCTGCAGGCTCCAGCAGACTCTTTGCTTTAAAACACAATCCCCTTAACACAAATCCTTCCCTGGAAAGGCTTGTGGTCCCCATGCCCGCTCCAGCTATTGAATGGGGAACAGAGGGAAGAGGTTGAAACATCAAATCCTTGGGATTAAAACATTAAATCAGCAGAAACTGAGAAAGCAGAGTTAACTAGTCAAGCAGGAGTCAGCTCTGTTCCCTGTGAAGTGGCCAGTGCCTCTCCTGGGAAAACAGCCCTTTCCACAGGGCTGGAAGGGAACCAGACGCCCGTAAAGGGAGGATTTTCTGCAGTGCCAGAGTGCTGTGGGGAGCTCCCATTTCAGCAGCACAGACAGACCATCTCCTTTACCTCAGATATCAGCCCTACCTGCGTTTAACCCAGTAACCACGCAGGGCATCTGCCCAACTGGAGCCACTGGGATTTAAGTGATTAATGGAGCACCATGGAGCCTTCCCTCGGTGGAGGGGTCTGATTCCCTCTCTGGCTTGTGTTTCAGCATTCCAGACAGAGGGGAAGCTGTACCTCATCTTGGATTTCCTCAGAGGAGGTGACCTTTTCACTCGGCTTTCCAAAGAGGTGGGTATGCTCTGGCATCTCGGTGGGTTGCTGAGGCTACCAGTTCGTCTGTGGTTAATGGCCTGGAGAAGGGATTCATCCTTGAGAGGGGTGGAAACAGCCTCCAAACCTGCTGCTAGTCCAGAGCTGGCAACAGGAGAGGGTGTTTTGGGAAAGCAGCAGCACAGGCTGCAGGTCTCACCTCTGCAGCAGCTTCTGCTGAGCATCACGTTAATAACAAAAACTAAAAGAGGGGAGATTTAGATTAGATATTGGGAAGAAATTGTTCCCTGTGAGGGTGGGGAGGCCCTGGCACGGGTTGCCCAGAGAAGCTGTGGCTACCCCATCCCTGGAAGTGTCCAAGGCCAGGTTGGACAGGGCTTGAAGCAACCTGGGGTGGTGGAAGGTGTCCCTGCCCGTGACAGGGGTTGGAACAAGAAGAGCTTTAAGGTCCCTTCCAACCCGAACCATTCTGTGATTCCATCAATGGATACTTTAGGATGGGGGGTGAATTCTGGGAAACCTAGAAACAGCAGGAGGGGGCAACATGGACGTGAAGGGTCTCACTGCTGGCAGCGTGACCCCAGCCCCTCTCCTCTTGCTGTCCCCCCCTGGCAGGTCATGTTCACCGAGGAGGACGTGAAGTTCTACCTCGCGGAGCTGGCGCTGGGCCTGGACCATTTGCACAGCCTGGGGATCATCTACAGGGATCTCAAACCAGAGAAGTACGTGTGGCCCAGCTGAGCCAGGGATCCCAGCCCTGCATCCAGCCCCGAGCCTGTGGCCAGCCTTTCCCCCAGGCAGGGCTGGAGGGCAGCCCGAGGCCGGGCAGATGGGAGGTGGCAGTGCCAGTCCAAGGCTGCTGCTCCTCAGATCAGTGGCCGTGGCCAGGAGGCAGCATGTGTGCTCCACATGGGTGAACAGCAATCCTGGGCAGCCTCTGGCCTCCAGCTTTAAGCAGTTTGAGAGCCTTTTGGGGGAAGAAGGCACCAGGCTGGGCCTCTGCATGGCTTGGTTTCTCCTTGCCTGGGGCATGTGGGGGTCAGAGAGAGAGTGCAAACTGGGGGGGAGGTCATTTGTTCAATGTGAAGCTGAGGATGTAGAGAGAAGGGAGCTGCTCCTGGTCCCACTCATGTCTTGGTGGTGGAGCTTAAAGCACTGGGAGAAGGGACAGATAACTTTGTCCTCTGGATTTTGGCAGCACCTCAGACCATCCACTGCTGTGCTTGCTCTCACCAGCCTTCACTGCAGGCAGTAAAAACTTGTTTTATCCATTCCTGCTGTAGCATCCTCTTGGATGAAGAAGGGCACATCAAACTCACAGGTGAGGGACTCCACAAGGCCTTGGGCTCCAGCAAGGTCGGTCCTTGAAATGTGGAAGCTTCTTGTGTGACTGCTCGGGGCACGCGGGTGTGTGCTGACAGGCTTTTCTCTCGTGTAGATTTTGGCTTGAGTAAGGAGGCCATAGACCACGAGAAGAAGGCCTATTCCTTCTGTGGGACGGTGGAGTACATGGCCCCAGAGGTGGTGAATCGCCAGGGCCACTCGCACAGCGCTGACTGGTGGTCCTACGGGGTCTTAATGGTACGTACCCAGTCAGCGAGTCCGGGCACTGGGAGGAGCAGCTGCTCCAGCTCTGAAACACCCAGACAGGGGTCTGTGTTTGTGCCAGACCTGCTGGCCTGGGGGTGTTCCCCGTGCTCCCCAAAGGGCTCCGTGAGGGGCTGTCCCGGCACCCAGCCAGGAGCGCGGGTTTCTCGTGGTGGGCTGGGGGGTTCCTGGGGTTCCTGAGGGTGTCCGTGTCCACCCCAGTGCCGGGATGTCGGTGTCTGTGCAGATCTGGTGCCACCATCTGGCAGCTGCTGGATCCCAGAGCTTCCCCCTTCGAACGTGTTTCCCGCTGCAAACCTTGTGGTCCCAAGCTCCTCCTGAGAAAACACAATGCCTGTGAGCTCTGTAAGAGCCAGGCCTGGGATCCCTCAAGATTTTCTCGAAGGGGCAGTGAGATCTTTGCAACCCCCAGCCTTGCCCAAACATGACCCTCCCTTTTTCTCTTCCCCTCCCAGTTTGAAATGCTCACCGGTGCGCTGCCCTTCCAGGGGAAGGACCGTAAGGAGACCATGACCCTCATCCTCAAGTAAGAGGAGTTTCTCTCTCCTGCCTGCACAGGAGATGCTGCTTTTTGAGCCGTGTTGCAATCCGGGGGCTCTCGCAATTTAACAGCGTTGTTTGGCAAGCGGTTTCCTACCAACAGTTAAGTTTGGAGGGTGCAGTGTAAATGCCAAGGAGGTGACTGTAGTTTTTGGGGGTGGAGGTGCTGCAGTCAGCTTGTGGCTTGACTTCTTTAAAACCTGCAGCTGATTGCAAAACTTCCTCCCCAGAGCGAAGCTGGGCATGCCGCAGTTCCTGAGCGCTGAGGCGCAGAGCCTGCTGAGAGCCCTGTTCAAGAGGAATCCAGCCAACAGGTTAGGTAAGACAATTGTTTGGTTTGCTTCTGAATACACCTGATGCCGTATCGGGGCCCTCTCTCACCCTCCTGGGTCAGCAGCGTGTTCACACTCGTGCTCAGTTAATGGTTAGTTGCAGCCAGGTTTCTCCACCACCCTGTGCTGTGTCCACAAGAGTCACCCTCACTTTGTCAGGGGTTTAGTGCAACGTGCTCCGTGGTGCATCTTGCAGGTTCTGGACCTGATGGGGCGGAGGAGATCAAACGCCATCCCTTCTACTCCACCATCGACTGGAACGTGAGTATCAGAAACGTGAAAGCAGATTTCTCCGCCATTCAGCACCAGCAATTCACTTCTGGCAGCAGGAATAGCGTGGTCATGGTGCTTGACCAGCCACCAGCCCCTGTCCCCGTCCATTCCAACAATCCCTCCCGAAACTAAAATTCTGTTTGCCACCGAACTCTTGCATACTTGGGCTGCCTGTCACCTCACCTCGGTGTGAATTTACTCATCTCTCAGGTTTTAATTGGGGTTTGGCACAAGGTTTGTCTTGCACTAAGTGGGAAGGAATCAGGGCAAACATTCCTGGCAAGGAAATCAGGGCGATCACTGGACTGGCATTTCCCAACCGCTTCTGGCCAACTCCCTGCTTTGCCACACGATTTTGTTTCTTCCCTGTTTTCCCTTACTTGGTAAGGGATTTGAAGATCACTCCTAATGCTTCCAAGGCCCCTGCAAGCTGTTAGGCCGACCCTCCAGCAATGCCAGTAAAGCTTATTTCCAATTTTTGCTTCAAGAAGCAATTTAAAAAGGCACTCGTGGGAGTTTTGGGATATGGATGTCCCCCTAATGCATCTCCTCTGGCCATCCCTGGGGAGATTCATGTCAGCAAAGCCCTAATGGGAGTTAGGAGGAGGTGGGAGAGCCTGTCAAGGAAAATACTTTACAAACACTACATTTGGAGTGGGGGCACGTTGCCTACAGAACACTTATTTTCTTGATCTAATATATGATATAACTCGTAATATTTCTCCACAAACTGACTCAAGAGCAACCCACCAGCCAAGGAGTCCTCCCTCAGGCTGCTGAGCTGCCGCTAAAATTTAGCTAAGCCGGGGAGTTTCACAAAAATCCCTCCCCTTGCCAGCCTTTGCACCCTTTGGGACCTGTCAGAGCCCTCTCTCTGTGTTTTGCAGAAGCTGTACCGCAGGGAGATCAAGCCCCCCTTCAAGCCTGCAGTGGGCCAGCCTGATGACACCTTCTATTTCGACACGGAATTTACGTCGCGCACACCGAAAGGTTTGTGGGGCTTCCTGCGGGAGGTGACACTCTGTGGTTTGATGTTTAATGCCCCAGAGTATTCGGTGCCAGCAGGGCAAGGTGTGCCTGGGGCTGGTGCTGCCAGCCCAGGTGGTTCCAGCGCATGTCGGGCTCTTCTCACAAGCAAGACAGGAGGAAATGGCCTCAGGTTGTGCCACGAGGGGTGTAGGTTGGATATTAAAGAAAACTGCTTGATGGAAAGGGTTGTCAAACCCTGGCACAGCTGCCCAGGAGTCCCCATCCCTGGAGGCATTTAAAAGACACGTGGATGTGGCACTTGGGGCCGTGGTTTAGTGGTGGCCTTGGCAGGGCTGGGAGAATGGTTGGACTCACTGATCTCGGAGGGCTTTATCAACCTGGATGATTCCAGGATTCTCTGCAGGGTGTTAGGGGTAAGCTGGGTGTTGCTGGTGTGGCTCTGGTTTGTAACGAACTCAGCAGCAGCCACAGCTCCAGGGAATGGGGAAGGCTTGCAGAACCAGCCTTCTTCAAGCTGTGTTTCCACTGCTGTTGCAGATTCCCCAGGTGTCCCCCCCAGTGCAGGGGCCCACCAGCTCTTCCGAGGCTTCAGTTTCGTGGCGACCGGACTGATGGAGGATGGCAAGGTGAAACCTGCCCAGCCACCCCTGCATTCGGTTGTGCAGGTAAGAAATGGAGACACTGGAACAACTGTTTGAAGGTGCAGAGAAATTCCAGGTCTGCACAGTCCAGAGCAGCACTGACAGAAAGCCCGAGGCAGTGTCTGTTGGGAATTCTTGCATCCTGTTTTTCTTTTCTTTCCACTGACTGTCACACTGTGCACAGGTTGGCAGGAAAACGAGGGACTGTGGCTTTTCCTCTCCCCAGGTGGATCTGTGCTGATGGGGGTCTGTAAATGCCTGTGGGCTGAAGGTGCCACCCAAACACACCGTGCTCGGAGCAGACAGCGTTATCCCACTGACCTATATCTGCCTCGTTCTCTTCTCCTCCCTCTCCCAGCCGGGAGGAGAAGCTGTGGGATGTAGCAGACAGTCTGCCAGCTCTGCCAGTTAACTCATCACGTTGCACAAAGCCTTCCCTGAACCCTCCCAGCTCATCTCTCCCCTCTGCCCCTGCAGCAGCTGCACGGCAAGAACGTCCAGTTCAGCGACGGGTACGTGGTGAAGGAGGCGATCGGCGTCGGCTCCTACTCCGTGTGCAAGCGCTGCATCCACAAAGCAACCAACATGGAGTACGCAGTCAAGGTCAGAGCCCTGCCCTCGGAACTGAGCCGAGCTCTCCTGCTAGATTTTCGCCCAGAGAGGCTGTGGATGCCTTCCCTCAGAGGGAGGAGAGCATCTCACCTTTGCCTGCAGAGCCGCGGCCGCACCAGATCTTAACAAATACAACAGACGTAAAACTTTGGGGATTGGGAACGCAGAACGGATGAGGCAACTAGAGGATTTCTAGAGATACAGAGAGCAGGGGAGCAGATACGACACAGGAGCTCTGCAAAGCCCCAAACTCAGCTTGTGTGCTTTGTCCTGGCCCCTTTCTCACCCTGTTATGACTAATGCTGCTTCCCCTACTCCTGCAGGTGATTGACAAGAGCAAGCGAGACCCTTCTGAGGAAATAGAAATCCTGCTGCGGTACGGGCAGCATCCAAACATCATCACCTTGAAAGATGTGAGTGTGGCTTGAATGGCTTCCCTGTTGTTTCGGTTTAGGAAGTGCAGGCTGCTCAGGGAGCAGATTTGAGCTCCAGCTGGCCCAACAGCCCAGCTCAATGTGTCCCTCTGGCTCTGTTATGAAAAGGTTCTTCCCCCACAGGCTGGTTGGCACTGAACAGGCTCCCCAGGGCAGTGGCCAGAGCCCCAAGGATGCCAGAGCTCAAGGAGTGTTTGGGCAACACTCTCAGGGCCGGGGGGAATTCTTGGAGTTGTCCTGTGCAGGGCCAGGAGTTGGACTTTGATGATCCTTGTGGGTCACTTCCAACTCAGGATATTCCATGGTTCTGGGGTGGGGAAGCATCCCCAGAGCCACCTCTGCTGATCTCTGCTTCTTGGTGGTAGAAGTGCAAAAGGAAGCACTTTTTGGTTAATCCCCTCTCCGTGTCTGCTTTGGAAGGTGTACGACGACGGGAAGTTCGTGTACCTGGTGACTGAGCTGATGAGGGGAGGGGAGCTGCTGGATAAAATCCTCAGACAGAAGTTTTTCTCTGAGAGGGAAGCCAGTTCAGTCCTGCACATGATCTGTAAAACAGTGGAGTACCTGCATTCCCAAGGGGTGAGTATGGTCTTTATGGGAATTCTCTGGCATTACACTGTGCTCCTTCTCCTCCGTCGGGACAATTATTTCTCGCTGGTGTTGCTCTCTTGGCAAAGCAGATGTGGGACCAGAGCAGGGGCTGAGCGTCCTCAGGCAGCTTCAGACCTTTATCTACCTGGGGTTTGAGAATGGCCCTTTCTTTGCTCCACAGGTGGTTCACAGGGACCTGAAACCCAGCAACATTCTCTATGTGGACAAGTCGGGAAACCCCGAGAGCATTCGCATCTGTGACTTCGGCTTTGCCAAGCAGCTGAGGGCCGAGAATGGGCTCCTCATGACTCCCTGCTACACAGCCAACTTTGTGGCACCTGAGGTAAGTGCCGACCTGAGCCCCTTTGGCAGCCCCCTCGTCCCTGTGCTCCCGCTTGGCACAGTGGATCCGCCCCCATTCCCAACTCCAGCCTGCCCTGCAAGAGGGAACTACAGAGATGCAACTTGTAGTACTGAACAAATAGGAGATCCCAAGTGCAGTTACGGGGCAGTCCTCCAACCTGCACTGCCCTCACAAGAGGTCTGCTTAGGGTACCGAGACTTTAAAACCCCAGTGATTTCCCAGGCTGCTTCCCTTCCTCATTAAGTGACTTGTTAAAAGAGGTGGGATGATCTTCCACTCAGTTATCTTGGTGAGGAAGAAGAAACCAAATGAAACCAAAGTCAGATTGGAATCCTGATCTTTTCCCCTTTGTTCTGCTCAGGTACTGAAGCGCCAAGGCTACGACGAGGGCTGTGACATCTGGAGCCTGGGGGTTCTGCTGTACACGATGCTCGCTGGGTGAGTGGCTCTGTCCCACTGGAAGGCAGGGATGGGGGCTGGGACCCCCCTGCTCTGCAGTGGCAGCAGGACTCTCCTCACTCACTGCTGCCCACTGGTGCTCCCTGCCTGTGTCCCAGGCCAGCAAATCCAGTGCTCTCTCCTCTCCTCTCATCTCCTCTCCTCTCCTCTCTCCCCAGCTGCACTCCCTTTGCCAACGGTCCCAGTGACACTCCAGAAGAGATCCTGACCCGGATAGGTGGGGGGAAGTTCTCCATCAGTGGAGGCAACTGGGACACCATTTCTGACATGGCCAAGGTAGGGTTTGATATCTGTGTTACATTCAAGGGTTGGGGACAAGCACGGCCAGTTGCAGTGAGGCAAGTTTGGGGCAGGCTGGGGAGGGAGGACACAAGAGAGAGAAGAAAACCAGCAGTGTGGCTTCTCCCCCGTGCCTGCTTCCCCCACAGCAGCTTTATTTTAGTTCTGGCTGTGAATATTTGCATGGAAAACCAACCTCGTGCTTGACCCATGTGGGGTTTTGCTGCTGTGTTATAGCTCCCAGGCCTGCCCAAAACATATTTCATACAAAAAGAGTTTGATGTCTGGGGACTTCAAACTCGGCCTCTGAATTTAAAACCTCATTTGGGGGCAGACAGGTGGTATTTTTTTGCATTTAAAGCATGAAATCTACTAAAGCCTGGCTTTCCAAATGATGCCCTCAGGATTTGGTATCAAAGATGCTCCACGTTGATCCTCACCAGCGTCTCACAGCCAAGCAGGTCCTGCAGCATCCGTGGATAACCCAGAAGGACAGCTTACCCCAGAGCCAGCTCAATCACCAGGACATTCAGCTTGTGAAGGTACAAAGTCTGGGCTGAGCCTTCAGCTGGTTCCTCTTGTACCTCGGGGAAGGTCCAGGTGGGGCAGTGGTGGGGTGGGAAAGCAGGAGGGCAGGTTGGAGAGGTGTGGGGCAGGGGAGGCAATACAGACAAGCTGGGTTTGTGGGGAGATAGAAAAGGGAGGTTCTTTAACAGCATATCAGTGCAGGAGGGAGATCTGAAGAAATAAGAAAGGTGCTTCTGGCTTTGTCTGTGGGCTTGGCTGCGTCTTGTGAAGCCGTGAATCTGAAATAGCTCCTCTACACCTAAAGGACTTCTGCACCTAAATTACATCTCCCCTCCCTTTCTCCAAGGGTGCAATGGCTGCCACGTACTCTGCACTGAACAGCTCCAAGCCAAGCCCTCAGCTGAAGCCCATCGAATCCTCCATCCTGGCACAGAGAAGGGTGAAGAAACTTCCCTCCACCACCCTGTGAAGCCGGGCTGGGCTGGGCTGCAGCCACACGGTGCAGGCACACACTGGATTTTGCACACCTGTGGAAGATGGGGACAGGGGACTGTCAGTGTCTGCACTGGAGCTCCCTTGGGGACCTGCTCTCAAAAGGCCAAGTGCCTTCCTGCTCCTGAAAGACTGGCTCCTCCTCGTGTGGACTGATCTTTGCCGAGAGAACTTCACTGTAAAACTTTTTTTTGAAGTGTAAATTGTCAATTTTTAAAGACATCCATCTGTGTATATGAGAACTAGAATGTATAACCGATGTCAAGTGGCACTAAAAAGCAGCTCTGATTTCACCCTTCCCTGCGTAGGGCCAGGTATTTGTTGTCGCTACGGCGTTTCTTGGAATTGTTCCTCTCCAACTCCACTGCAGCTGGAAGACTGCATCACATTTGGGGTTTGGGCTCTGGGGTTTTTCCCTCCTCAGACCTTTGGATGCCCTTCCCAAAGCTGACCCTGCAGCCTCCCAGCCAGCAGTGCTCGTGTCCTTAAAGGACTTCCCTCCCCTTCACTTTCTGTGCGCGTGTTCCACGTAGGGTCGATTTTCCAGCCTCCGTCTCTCCCTCCCTCCCGCTCTCCCCCAGCCCAGCCAGCAGTTCAGTTCTCTGAACAAAAGGGTTTTCCAAACCTTCCCTCAGATGCTCAGCTGTCCAGAACACCCCCCTAGGTTTGTCTCCTTCCTTCCCTCTGCCCCGCACATCTCTGTGTTCTCCCATCACCAGATGGGAGTTTGTCACCTGGGCAGGTGGGGACGACAAGGGAACCCTCTCCTTGGCAAAGCTGAGGCTTTGGGCTGGCTCTGGCTGCTGCTTTTACCATTTTGGGGTTTCCCTTTCCCTTCAAGCAGGAACCTTCTGAACCAAACCATCCTTGATTTTTTTTTTTTTTTTTTTTTAATTTAACTTTGTTCTCCAGCTTGGTAACTCAGGGTTTCTTTCCGACTCGTACAATAAACGTGTCATTCAGGTGACTTTTACGTTACTGACTGACTTTTAGCTGCAGAATCCGGTTCGTTTCCCTGCGTTGTGTGGGGACAGCGCTCCTTGCCTGCCTTTTGGGAGAGCTGCAAAGCTGGTCATCTGGCCCTGTGATGGGAAAACCAGCAGCAGGGCTGCATCTCCTGCCACCTCCTCTCAGGTGCAGCACCTCGCTCCGCAGTGGGGAGCGATTAGAAGCAGTCACGGAACGAGGAGGTGGCAGGATGTGGAAGGGAATTTCTTACTCTCAGGACATTTTAGTGCTAATAGAAACCAGCACCTGGAGGCAAACTGTGCTAGAAATAAATTCCTGCCCCGTTCTGACCTGCAGGGAATTGCTGGAGCTCCCTGGTTCCGTGGTGGCAGTTTTTTGGGAGGAGGATCAGGATTGCTGCAAGGGCTGCAAACACTCACAGGCTCGAGGATGTGACTGAAGCCAGCAAAGGTTCTTCTGTGAATTTCTGCTACTTTTAGCTGGTCATGTCACAGGAGAGGAAACTTTCTTTTTTGCTTAGTCCCACCTGGCTCTAAAATGGAGAGTTCCATAAAGAGAATTATCTGAGAAGCACAGCTCTCTCCTCCTCTACCCTAATCCAAGCAGGTCCTGGTTTAATCCCTGGAGCAGCCAGTGAGAGGTTGAAATAGTCATTATTTTTTTCTTTTTCTCTATTCCAAGTACAGCCTGAGTGTCCAGTGCTGCTGAGAGGAGGAGGCCAGCACCAGTTCACAGCGGATCCTCTTACTGGTATTGCCACTGACCCCAGCAGAGATGGATTTAATGTTTTGCTGAGATTTGGGGAGGGGGGACACCATTATCCAAGATGCCCTCCTTAAAAATACTTGTTTTCACTCTGTTCCCTACAACTCCACAGTAACTCTTGTGCCAGTGGTTGTGCTAATTTTAGCTAATTTAATCTGTTGCAACCAATACAATAATTATAAACATCTTTCAGGAGCTGAGGTTGAAGTTGGGATTGAAGTGGACACCTCAGAATGCTTCCTACATTGTATTTCCAGGCAAGGCCTGGAGTGATGGATGGGGCTGGATATGTTGGTGGGAATCAGCGCTCTCTGTCAACCTCTTGATATGAACCACCAGGGTCTTCAACCCTGGGGTTTAGGGTGGTCTTAAACCAAATGCTTGCCCTGCTTGGAAGGTTGGTTGTATGAAACTGTGAACGTTTCCAGATATCAGTCAGGAAAAGCGTTACAACCTTTGCTCAATCCTCCCTGTGCTCTGCTGGTGGGAGGCCAACTGGGGACAACTCAGAGGTGTGTGGGGACAACGGGGTGCAGAGCTCTGTGGGCCCGTGGCCACGAGATGATACCTGGGGTGTTAAACCCCAGTGCCTGGGGCATCCAACCCCTCCACCTCACTGGGGTTCTTCAATCAGAAGAACTTTATGTTTGGTGCAGCTGTAGCTTCTGGAACCTCCATCCCTCTGGAGCAGAGAGTGAACAAGAAGGGCTACACCTTCCCCTCCGGGGTGCTTTTAACCACGTTGTTCTGAGTGATCCATAAGTAAAAAATAAGTCCGGATTTTTAGTTCCAAATCAACCAAGTGCTGTTACTTTTTTTAATTCCAGTGCTCAATAAAAATGGACTTGTTGAACTTTCTGTGTATAAGAACTGGAGGTGTTTGTGACGGGTCGGGCTCTCTCCTTTTCCTTTTTGGTTTGGTCCTGACAGTGTTAGACCAAAATACAGTTGGGGCAAACTGTTATCTTAACTGAAATTGCATTATTTGAGGTGAAAGTTGGCTGTCTAATGTCTTCTGGGGGGAGCTGGTGTCTGGAAGAGACCAAATGATCTGCTCTCACCAGAGTATGAGTTCATTTAGCTGTAACTTGGGACAAAGGGGATATACAGAAGATATCACAAATTGGTATGACTTGAAAAGGGGTAGAAATGGATTTGACTTCCATGCATAAGGAAATCCTTACAAGGAAAGCTGCTTGTGTTAGTTCAGGTGTTTAATAATCGACTTGACCTTTAGGCTTTTGTCCTGTAGGTCTGTATGAAAGCTCAAGGGAGCAGAAATCCCAGAATCCAGCCTCGAATCGCCGAGTCTACCTGGAATTAACCTGTGCAGAAAGAGCATCCTAAGTCAAAGAGCCTGAAAATAACACTGAACAGCTCTAAATGACACAGTTGGTGGCCCTCCTGGGTGCCACCACCTCCTCGTGGTGGCCACGGCCGCCTTCCCAAGGACGCGGGAGGCTTCGGAAGCGCTCGGTGACTCCGCGAGTGTTGGACGGTGTGTGGGGCGGATGCCGGCGCTTTCATGGAATATTCAACAATTTAATCCCCTCTTTAAAGGCAAAGGAAACATTTAAAATATTTCAAGGTCTTCTTTTTGGCAGTACGTGGGGGCTGTGAATAAAACCTTCACTCACGCCAGGGAAGCTGGAGGGCCGCTGCCACTCCAGTTTCTTGCCTCTGGTTATTAAAACATCAAGCTGTCTTACTGCCTCCCTCCCTTTGTGTGGCACTGAACACCTGCCATTAATACTAATTCGACTCCGGCGAGAAACTCCCTTTCAGATATGCTTGTCTGAAAATAAATTGACATGTAAAAGGTCTCTTTTGTCGCCAAGTGCACGGAAAGTGCCGGGGTGAGGAGCCGATCGCTTACAAAAGGAGCCACCGACTCTTTAAATGACGTGTTGAGAGGGTGAGAAACGGGAAATGTGTGTGTGTGGGGGGGGGGGGTGATGCTGTGACTGGGCTGATGTGATACGATTAGAGGAGGATCCAGTATGCAACCTCTCTTTGGCGTTAGACTTTGAGATTTTGGGTGATTTTCATCTAAACCCCTGGTTGTCTGGGGGGTGAACGGCCTGGCCCTGCAGGGACCCCTTTGAAGAAAACTTTTTGTTTAGAAAAACGTTTTGTTTAGAAAAATTTGTTGTTATTACAAATAAGTACAGCAAAAACTCAGAGCATTTGGTGGTGAGCCCTTCAATTTAGATGTGTAATGAACTCCAGGGCTCGGTTTGTTTTTCCTGGGACAAAAAATTTTGTAACACCGGAGAAGGACCCTGTAGCTGCAACCCTTGTTTGGTATTAAACTGAGATTTTGGATGACTTTTGTCTAAACCCACTGCTCTGTCTCATGGTGAATGGCCAGGCTTTGCAGGGACCTATTTAGAGAAAACTCTTTTTTTTTTTTTTTTTTTTTAAATCATTGTTATTATGAATATCTGCAACAAAAACTCAGAGCATTTGGTGGTGAGCCCTTCAATTTATATGTTTAATGAACTCCAGGGATCTTTTGTTTTCTCTGGGACAAAAGTTTGTATCACTTTCAATTAAGAAGCAGTAAAAGGATCCTCGGTTAGAGTATTTATTCTGTCCTGCAGGCAGCAGTGTGAGCCAGCAGAAGGTCAATATTTTTATTTTTATTAGAAAGAATGATTTCCTTTGAGCTGCTCATGCCCTGGGGAGACCAAGGCTCTCTCCTAAGAAAACAGTGTTAAGTTGGTTCTTTGGGCCGAGCTTTGGAGGGGGTGACATTGCTTGGAATTTGGTGCTGAAATGATGCAGTTCCAAGGCTGGGGATGGAGTGTGGCGTGGACCTGGTGTTCAGTTGCTGCTCGCTGGGCTTCTGGGTCTTCTAGTGAAGAAATCATTCACTTCATAACGAAGATCAAGTTGAAATACGTTCAGGGCTTGAAAGAAGGGGGAAAAAAGGGGTAATTTTGGCAATTATAGAAACGTTCCAGATTAGCTGGTGTCACGTCTGGTTCATCAAACAAGCAGGAGCTCTCGGTGCTGCTGAGCTCCAATGCCATCTTCTTTTTAAACAGCAGATGGTGTTAGAAACCTGTAACAGGTGGAAGCTCTTCAGTTTTATGTGAGAGATCAGAAGTAGCAGTAATTTCTCCTCTCCCAAGGGGTAGTTCCTTCCTGAGCTGAACAGCAGGCTGGTCCTCTGCTTGGATAGTTATTATAGAGGGAAAAAACTTCTGAATCACACATGTTCATATGGAAGGAAGTGATTCTGATTTGACTTATTCTGGTTATAATAAAAGGAACCTGGTAATGGCCTCCATAATCCTCTGTTAGCAGCTCTAAAAGAGAGATGTAGAGGGGGAAACGAGCTGTGTTTGCTGGTGTGCCTCAAAACCCGGCTCCAATCTGCCAGATCTGTTGGTTCCCTGTCTATAATAGCACTTCGCATGCTTAAAGTGTTTTATAAACATTTAATTACCGCAGCTTTTGACTCAAAGCCAGGAATCTCTCATTCATCTGCTGCTTGCGAGGGCTGCGAAAATGATATTCAAATCCTGGAACTGCAGGAAGGGCTGAGTTCAAACCCCAGCGAAGGAGAAGCTCCGTTAGCGGGGCCTCCGGAGCGAGCTGCTCCTCCAGCGCTGGAAACGGCAACGGGGAGAGATCTGAGGGTCTGCCAGTACCCCAGGACACGGAGCTGCATCTTAATCATGTTAGGGAAATGAGATGCTAAATTCTGCTCAGCTGGTGTCGTATGAACTTCTGAGGCAGGCGGGGAGCGCGGCTCTGTCTAGACTGGAGCGGTGTTTGATCCCCCGGCCCCGCCGTGTCCTTTGCTGCCGTCAGCAGCAGGGAAATCAGTATTTGTTAAAAGTTGCCTTTTTTTTTTTTTTTTTTTTTTCTCCCCACCCACCAAACTACTTGGAATTTTAACCAGCCCAACTCCCAGCTCTGTTTAAAGATAAAATAAATAAATAAAAGTAGGCTCAGAGCATGAGTTTCCTGCCTGCCTCCATCCCCTCCGTGCCGCAGCCCCCCAGGAGCCATGCGGTTTGTGACACCAAGCAGAAGCATCAAATAAAGGTAAAAAAACTTGTAGGGGATTAATAATTTCTCTCCAACCATCTGCCTTTCACCAGCTCCCTTTCCTGCACAGCACATCGTTCGTGCAGAACTGGGTGGGCAGGAATAGAAATCATTCACTTTCCATGAAAGTCGCCCAGAGAAGCTGTGGCTGCCCCATCCCTGGAAGTGTTC